AAATATTGATCTACTCTAATGAAAATTCATTCTCTGCTCTTGAGCAAGCAGCAATCCATAAAATACACATGTGCGTGCAAGTATGTCAGGATTATTTTTCTTTGTAAATCACAGTGAAGTCACTATTTATTTTTTCTGATACACAAAATATGCCTATCCTATGGGCTAAGGGAATAGAGATGATGTTTTGTATGAAAATGCAAAATTAAGTAATTATTATAACCTGGACCTACTTTGGAGTAAGATTACCACAGGTGATTCTCCCAGACCCAGACTTCATACCCTGCTATTAAAGCAGCCATAAAAATATGGCCAGAGGCAAATTCTAAATCAGAAAGTGCTACTTCCCATTCCTTCAGTTTTAAACACATTGCAAGAAAAACAGCTAAGCAAATGCACAAGCATGTTCTGCTCCAGCTAAACAGTGGACGTGATCTTCAGCCTAGTACACAACTCGCTGCAGCCGTCTGGCGTAGAAGGGATTAATCCAGGGATGATTTCAACAAGTGCCGGAGAAAAAAAAAAAAAAAATAGAATGGATTATCATTTATCAGTACCTGGAAGCAGGAGAAACCTGCTTTAGTTACTGAGTCCACCTAATTAGTAAGCACAGATAACCCAACAAAAAAAACTGTGCTTTGAGATCCAGAATAATAAATTTGGACCTATTTGCTAAGGTGCAGTGCTCACTAATCAGCTATATGGTACCCAGACCCTGAGGGGGCCCAGGCAGGGCTTAGTTCCAGCTCCAAAGGGATGCTGTAAGCAACAGCTGTATCTTGTCCCTGCTGCGGCTGGGCACATGTGTCACCTGAGCTGGGGAGGTGACCGCGCGCATCCCTTGCAGTGTCTGCAATCGGTCCCTAGGTCTCTTTGTGCACTTGCAAATTGGAGAAGAAAATTAACTTTAAACCAGTGTCCTGCCTGTTTCCCATGCTCAAAATCTCTCAGGGTGTTCAGCAAGCTGTAAACAAGGCAAAACTGAGGAAGAATGTGACATTAGATAAAATATCTTAACATCATGCTTTCCTAATGAAACTTTAAATTGGCATGTGTGTATCTATGTATATACACTTTTGCTTGCACTCACCACCATAAAGCGAGCTTCAGTTTAATAAAATTGCAGTGTTTATAAATGCGAGGGCTCATATTTCATACAGTGACATCCCTGAAGAGCTGGGAGGGACTGAGCCAGTGTGATAATGAAAATGTAAATAAGAGGAAATACTATATATATATATGACAAAAGGCAAGGGCAGATGAGGAAGTGACAATCTCCTTTTTTGCCACTGAGGTTACTGTGGTTAATTTATAGGGTGTCAGAGAATGGAAGAAAAAGGTTTAAAAACGTTGACTTAAGAGAAGACACTGAAAGGAAACAAATAATGACAAAATAATCTTTGTGGGGGGTGGGGACTATTGAGTTGGAAAGGATAGATTTGCACAGAAGAGCACTTTGTCCTTACGTCTCCGGCTACAGGTCCCCCCGCTCTGAGGTCTGTGCTGCGCCCGCTGCGGGCTTTTGCCGGGCAGGAGGGATGAGCCGAGATGTTGCTGAAGGGAAATCTTTGAATATGGGATGACAACTGAGAAGAGTTTAAGTGTAAATGTCTGATGAACACAAGGGAGGGAATGTTTGATCTGTGAGGCCTATTAATGTGAAGTAGTTACTCCTAAAATAAGTTTTGTCTTTGAAAACAAATATTATCGTGAAACACCATGGAAAATAGCTCTTTGTTGGCAAGTGATAGACAAAATGACCTCATAAGTCTTTCTTGTATTCATTTTCTGCAGTGAGGCTCCAAGAAATGCCCAGGACTGCTCTGTTGCAACAGGCATGTTCCACTGAAGGAACAATTTCTACCATTTTTAGTGTGTTTACTGGAAAATTGTTGGTCTGGTGACATTTTGAGTGCCCCCTTGGCCAGACCTAAAGCTTCACAAGTTTTTTTGAGACGTTTCAAAATATTTCCCTTGAGAAAGGAAGAGGAAGCAGATGAAAGGATTAACCCACGGGGAACCATCGAATCCTCTTCAGAAGCAGAGATTGATGCTGGTTCTGGAATAGAGAACGGAAGGAAAAAATAGTGTCCCTTAGAAAGGGATTAATTTTTCATAATTTCCTTTCTGCAGTTTGTTGTAAAGAGCCGAGTCACATTTCTCAGCATGGGAAATAGAATCAAATCTACAACAATAATCAGGCTTATTTTTAGCGTAGAAATATCTGCCCTGTGGGACCAAAGCTCATGAACTGATTGTTGGAAAAACCTATTCTTGCAGGACAAGCTGAAGAAGACGAATTGCACTCTTTTGAAATAATGATTCACTGAACAAGGCTAGTATTGTCAAAAGGCAATATATCATTATTAAATTACAATGTTCATCAAGTAATATTTTATTCAAGAATATTTTGAAAAAATAATTCCAAGACCCTAATTTTGGGTCTGCTCATATAAAGGACATCTGCATAAGCCAAAGAACTAAGCGTTTTGAGCTGTAATTCTGCAGATTTTGTTTAAAGCTATCATGGAGCCTATAGAGCAAGTTTTCCATGAGCGAGACCTTTTTCTTTAATTACTTGATTTTCAGAACACTAACACAAATTCCAATAAGTATTTTGGAAAGCTGGTTGCTTAAGTAGTATATAAGAAGCAAATAAAATACTCACCAAAAAATTAGTCATATCACAATGCTTTTGCAAAGAGTGTGACTTTTCTCAGCTGGATCTTTCTTTCCTGGCTCTGTAGAAACCATGGGAACAGCTACATTGCAGGAACGTAAATAAAACCACGTATGAGAGTAATCCAACAGGCTGGCCTCCCTCATTAGCCTCACCTCTTACGTGAGGTTGCATAGATTTTTTTTTTTTCCCCCCTCTCTCTCTCTGTTGAATTATATTATAGGATATAAAGACTAGATGGCTAGTATTTTACACTTATATTTTACATTGACTGAAGTTCTAAATAACTTTAGAGTGATTCAATTAATAGGAAATGTCAATGAGAAGCTGGGCATGTTTAACTGGTTACAGAGCAGAAAAAGGCTCAGAGCCTAATTTGCTTATATACTGCACAGCACAAAATGCATGGCTTCTTATGGAAAAACAAAACAACTGTCAAGGTCACGTGTAAACTGCTTGTTGCATTGAGGGACAAATAAGTTTTGGGAAATGCAAGGGAAGGAGTCTGGGGTTACGTGCATTTTGTAAAGGGTTTTAGGTAACTTACGGTTAACCAAAGGTAAACAAAAAGATATTTTCTATACAATGTATGGATTAGTGATGAGTCTCCCTAACCCGGCTTCTCTTCTAAATGGATTTCCTCTCTTTTTTTCAACCACTCATTTCCCTTCCCTCATTTTAAGGTACTTCTTCCCCACTTTTTTCTCTCTCTACAGCTTCTTCTGCCTTTCTTCATTTTGTGACATGTGTTCTCTTTCAAAGAAAATGGCTTTTCCCTCTTATTTCATATTATCTGTTCTTTTTCCTGTAGCAGACACCCTTTCCATCTCCTTTCTTCTAACAGGAGCTATAGTTTCTAGACTCTTCATTATCCCTTTGTGTGGAGAAGGTGTCTCCTTCAGGCCTCTTCTGGCCACTTGCCAACGTTCAGTAATTTTTTCTGCATCATAAATGGTTGTGATATTCTTCTTCTGTCCCATGCTATTACAGTCTCTTACCTTTATTCCCTTGCTGTGCAAGGGACCTTGAGCACAGTATTTAGGCATGTATTTTCACTGCTTCAAGCCCCAAAAATGCTGACTGAAACTCCAGAGAGAGGATTAGGAGGATGGTTCATCCTGAATTCACCAATATTTCAAACTGATTTCTTAACACTGAAACAATGAACCAATGTTAATTAACCATTATCACTCACTTATGTGTGTCCTCCCTTAATAACCTTCATATATATGTACAGAACTAATTAACTTATTAAAAGATAGCTTTACTCTGGTCTGTTCATTCACTGAGCCAGTCTGCTCTGAATTCATGCCTTTCCTCTATTCAGAGTGACTCCGTTTCCTTGCACATTTCTTGTCAAATCCTTTGAATTACTGTATTATACTTGAGCCCAATAACCTAAAACATTTTTACAGGGCAAAAGTTGTGTGGGTTTGATAATAAGGGGAGCGTTAGCTTTTATGCCAAGTGACTTTTGGATGTAGATGGCATTTTCATGTCAGCTGAAACCTGCATCTGGTCCTTGAAGTTTAAAGAATCTCAAATTGATGTACACTAAGCATCTGTATATATTTGGGCATTACCTATACTGCTGGGGAAATGGGCTTGACAGATAAAAACATGCATCAACAAAGAGGCGAGATTATGGTAATACAGGACGTGATATGTCTCGAGTATTTTTCTTCCTTGTGGGAGAGTGATCTCTTGAATAAAATGCACATAAGTATTTTTCATTGCTTATCTGTTTCCCCAAAAAGTCCATGCAGATTCATTACAGATTCAGGAACTGTGGACACCATTTGAATTTCTCCTGGGATTAAAGTGACCTTTAGTGTCTCGGTAGCAAGCTTTTTGGTTAGCACACAGAAGAGTTTCCCTCACTGTTTACCTTCAGTATAATGTCATTGTCTAATACGCTTAAGCATGTCTGCTCTCTCACTTATATTTGTACAGCTTTTTTTAAAGCTAGTACTTTGAAAGGTCTATTCCTCCACGCTGTTTCAATATTTAGATAAGAAATATTTGGTGTTGCCTTTTGGAGCAACGTATCTGCTGCCTGCCCTTCTGTTCTCACCGCCAGTTTCGGCTTTGTGAATGGGGAGCTAATCGGCAGCCCAGTAAGAAATGTGAGCTATTGCTTTACTCATATGGCTTTTATTTTGCTTTCAAGAGGTTGAAAACAGTTATACATATCAGTTCTGTTGATGGTTTCTTTCTTCTCTATTGCTCTTGAAATCCAGTCTGTCCTATCCGTTGCGTTAATAGAGCAAAGGTAACATCCGAAATAAATATTTTCCTGTCTTCTCTTCCAGATAAAATTGAAGATGAATTAGAAATGACTACGGTGTGCCATAGACCCGAAGGACTGGAACAGCTTGAAGCACAAACCAATTTCACTAAAAGAGAACTTCAAGTGCTTTACAGAGGATTTAAAAATGTAAGAACAATACCAAGTCTAGTATGTATGCCCCAACCAGCCTCAATGGCTCAGCTGCATTTTGTATCATTCCCCTGCTAAACGTTAGGATATTTGTGCTAGATCTCCCCTACCAGAGCAAAATGAGCACAATCTGCCTCTCCATCTAATATTTATGACATAATAATCTGCCTAAAACTGGGTTTGGATAATATTCAGCACATAATATTCTCATTAAATTTGTTTCCCAAATGTCAGTAAGCACACTGCAATTTCATCAACTGTCCCAGTACCGCAAGATAACCTGAAAATGTTTTTATGGTTACTTACTTCTTGCTGTCAGTTCCTCATGTTCAAGTATGAGCGGTAGTGTTTGCTTGTGATTAGCTGCCCAGGATGGTTTTTTTTATCCTTTCTTTAGCTGGAGAAATCTTGCTCTTGTAGTAGGATGTTATTAGAGCGCATTAGGACTAAAGGTCCTGCGTAAGTAGGCAATAAGGCTGGAGTGGCAGAAGCCAAAAAGAAATCAAAAGTAAGCCAGTATCAAGACTGAGGAGACCAGAGAGAAGCTACAGATTTAGGTGAAAGCAGGAAACATGCCAGTTGGCATGACTGCGTGCACAGAACACCATGCTCGTCTTTGTGAACCACCGATCCAGCCATACTCTCCCTGGTGGCAGGGAGTCTGTGGCTCCGTGAGCCTCAGCTTCTAGGTCACCTGCTGCTGCCTCTTAGGGACTCATCATAATAAATAAAAACAGATAGGGAATTTTGAGGGTACATGGAGCAGATGTTTTACGGACCTTGAAGAATGAATACTCATTACATGGTTGCCTGAGGGCCTGGATTTAGTCACCCAGGTGGTTTGTGCCAGCTGATGTTTTTATGATGATTAATAGATCAGTATCGAGCTAGCTCAATAAACACAGTGTGGTTTTTAAGTTATCTTGCAGGACAGCTCCAGCATTTCAGCTACTGTCACAGTGAAATGCTGACATTTCTTAGAAAGAGAAAGTCTATTGGGTAAAAACTTGCCAAAAGAAAGCTGAGCTACCTTAAATACAGGCAGTGTTGAGGGAAACCTGCTGGACAGTGAGAAGGGCCTTTCTTTTTGACGGATTCTTGAAATTTGATTGAATCACCTCTCCAATGCATACTTGACTTCTCCAAGGAGTCTGGTGGTTTCATCCTTTATTTCACTGCTCACCTAAGCAGGCCAAGACATAGTTCAGCTTTCTATATTTTTCTGTTTGGTGCATGTGTTGTATTTGTACAGCCTTTGCTGCACATAAGAGGTCATTTCATGCGTGAAGTTTTCTAACCACTGAAGACTGATATTCTGAAACCTCTTCATGCTTTGGGCAGTCAGCAAGAAATCATACGGCTTTTGAGACAGAGCTTGACAAGTTAACGTACAGTATAATATGACATAACTGCCTACAGTGGGAGACTAAACTCAGAGAGTTCTTAACTGCTGTGTTTTGCGAAGGTCTCCAAAATGCCTTCTGTATTGCTGTGTTTGGTGGGAATCCTGCGTGGGAGAGCACTGCTCCACGCTGAGAGGAGGGGCTGTCTGTGCCAGCATGCAAAACAGAGAGGTAGCCTTGCAACTCTCTCGGCGGATCTGAGATTTACCTCTTGCCCCTCACAATTTTGCTATTGCTTTGCAGTACAGAGGCATTACCTCTCAGGGCAAGAATAATGATAGACAAGTGCATTTAACTTGTGTCCTAAACCCTTTCTTAAGACCTCACTGAGGGTCTTGGTATTAATTGGTAGTACTGGCAAGATCTTGCTTTATATCAGGTTGTTAGGACAAGCAGGCTGTTTTCCTCCAGCTGCTATGCACACAATATGCGTGAAGCTTTGATATCTGAGGTTTAAATTGAAATGAAAGGGCAGCTTTAGCATTTGTAGCCTGTAAATCATGGTTTCAATGGGATGAGCAATTATGCACAGCAGGCAAACTGACTCAGCTGTTACCATATTTGCTGTTGTACCGAACCGTCTGCTTTTTGGCATGATGTTACAGTGCCATCTGGAGATTCCAAATCCCTGTGGGAATACAATCATTTTCCTCTCTTTGACTTATGCTTACTACTTGCTCTCAGTGATCACACAGATCCTGTTTAATCATGAGGTAACACCTGGATTATCACAGGGCCATTTACAGGCACTTGTAATGGACACAGAGAGAATGAGGCCCTGCTCAGCCTGGCTGCAGTCAGAGGAGCTGAAGGTTGGATGTTCATGAACATGGATGATGTTTGGCCAAAGGCAGTTCAACACAGCCTGGGGTAGCCTCCAGACTAGTGCCCTGGCTGACAAGGATCCTAATTCTCAGTACTTTTATTCCTGTTCTTTCTTCATCTCTGAAATGTGTTTCCCCACTCGCTCCAGACCTTCCCAGTCTCTTCCCAGTGTGTTACTGGTCAGGTCCGGTGTTTCTGCACCAGGCTGATGGAGGCTTCCACCAAATTCAGATCCTTTGCCACTCCGGAGAAGCAGAGCACACTAACCAGGCCAGTGTCCTTGCTGCGTGGCCAAACGTCCCCTCTCTCTTTGCCTTCAGCTTTCTTTTCAAGTTGTGGAAGGGTGCTGTTGCCCAACATCTCTTGATGCCAGGACCAAAAGTTCACTTTTATCTTAGCAGTTATCTCTGTCCCCGGGGTGCATTCTGCGTTACGTGGAATAGTCTATTTTGCACCTTGGAGTTAGCTGCTGTCAGGCTGGAGCCAGATTAATGCGAGGCATTTGGCCTGATTGCTTTGGCTGTGGTTCTGCAAAAGCAAGGTAACAGAGGTGGCAAAAACCAGCAGAACCTCTGGTGGATCTTGCCTTGGTTTAGCTTAACAAAATAAAGTGTGATGCTTTCTGTCTATAATACATCAGGAGAGAGAATTGTTTGAGCTGAAAGGCAGTATTGGCTTGGGAACAAAATGGCCATGAATAGGCATAGGCTGGAATTAGAAGAAAGTTTCTGTAAAGTTTGGGAAACAGTTATGGAATGGGAGGGAGGAGAACAAGAAACTATTTTTAAGATTAAAATTGGTAAGTTGATGACTAATGAAGTGACCAACAATGACAGAGGTTTGAGCTCAGTAATTCAATACCTCCCATTTAGACCATGTTTCTAATGACTTACATTCTTCGGAATTGAGTACATGGATTTAAAAGGGTTGGGATTTTTAATGGAATTTTTTTCTCAATTTGAGGGGCTTCTGTGCTGTTACGGGAAATGGTTGTTAGCTGCAAGGGGTAATTTGCTAATACTAGTCAGAAAACAGACAACCCAAATAACTGAGGGACTGTTGGAGACATTCTTACCTTGCTTTAGTGTGAATATTTTAGCAAATCTGTAATGGAGCGTGGTATAAGATGTAATCAGCTGTAACAAATCAGGTTTTTGGATATTAAAACAAGCAGTATGAGCAGGGTAGAAATGTTCTGATACTTTAATAATCCCCAAAATATCTCCAAACTGGGAGAACGTAGTAAGAGCAACAAATACGTGGGATGTGTGAATGCTCAGAACTGCAAATCTGGATTGTGGATCCTGAAGGAGAATCTGTCTGCGGTCAGCTAACTTAATACCTCTGATTTAGCAAAATGTGACCCTCCCCAAGTAGTCCTTTTCACATTCTGGCCAAGTTAGCTGAGAACAGTCTGATGGGCAGCTTACGTTTAGCTCCACTTCAATTCTGCTGCTGATCCCTGCTTGTCTACATTGCACATCTTTGAAAGCAATCAATGAAGTTAATTTCTGATTCCAGCAGAAGAAAGAACAGCAAGTGCAACTTTTGTTTGATTTTCTTTTTGATTTTGGGTTTGGTGTTGTGTTTTTTTTTTTTTTTTAAAAGTGGATTCAGCTCCTTTGTGGTTTAATATTTTAAAAGAAGTCTGAGAGGGTAGATTCATATACATGAGTCATGCTGTCAATGCCAATGCTCGATAGTTAGCTTTTTCAAAATGAGGGGTTGTTTCTGTGCTTGACAACAATACAAAAAAATGTTCACTGTTCTTGTTGGACATTTTAAAAGAATTCATAGGTTAAAGAAATTAGAGGCGTTTACCTGAAATCTAACCCCCTGCCATTGAAGGAAGGTCTTAGGAATGTTATGGTGAAGGACCATGCTTTTTCATAGTGCCAAGAAATTTTTCTTGAATGAGTAAACCTTTGTCTTCAGTGGAATTTAAACTGACACTAAGCTTACCTGCTCTTTTTCACAAGAGAGATTTCTTTTGAATCAGCTGTATTAAGTCATCCTGTAGCACTAATGAGGCCTCTTGAGCATTATTTGACTCTTATAAAAACAAAATTGTGATCAATTAAGTGCAAATGAATTGGTACTAGCATATGTGTCTGAAAGCAATCCAGTTATAGAGAGTTAAACAGGCTGATCAATGTCTGCCTCTCCCTAGCACTCCTGGAGGTCTGATGCAAACTTTCATTTGGCTTCCAGATGGAGCATCAGAAGTAATAAGAATCATGTGGAAATTCAGAAAATTTAATCAGGCACAATGGCCAAAACTGCTACAGGAGACACCTGCCTCTGCGAGGAGAGTGCCTGCAGCAGCAGCCTCTCCTCTGTGCCTGCCCTTCGCAGACTTAAGCTTCACTCTCAAGGTTGCTAGTGGTGGGCTGCGGCTCTTAGTAAATGAGGGCTATTAATATAGCGTCATGGAAAGTATAGAGAAAATAATGATCAGTCCCTACATTTATATCTTTAAGCATGTGAAGTGATGGTTCTTATTGAAGATAATAGTTGTATTTATCAACATGAGAGAAATAAATACGTCTTCACTTAGTGTGTTTGGCCAGTAGCACTATGCTGGAAAGGATGGTTAGGTGCTGTGGTAGGCTTGGTTTTAAAAAGAATGACAATTTAGTCAAATACTCTGAAGTTCTGCAAAGGCCCAGTGTGGGTCTTGGAGCAGCAACACTCCAGTGACCAAGGATAAAATTTCTAGCCAAGAATGGCTGTTCATAGGGTACTTGGTCCGATCTATGATTAAAAGATACCATAAAAAAAAAATCAGATTATTTATTTAATGTACATTAAATTACAAGCTTTAAGAAACATGAACTTTGGGAGAATACTTTTATGGTAGCTATTACCTTCTATTAATTATTCTTCTTTTAATGATTTCGAGCTTATTAGAAGTGGCACGAAGAGATGAAAAAGTAACCACTTTTCCTATGACAAAGAAACCAGGCAATGGCTGTTTTATTAAGAGCTCTGGAATGTTTTGAGGATACTCCTCTAACCAGGAATTTTGCCATACAGAATTGGAAAGTTTTGTTAGTTTTGTCTGTAAATGAAAAACCAAGGTTTGGTCCTGCAGCCACTAGCTTTAGATAATCCAGTTGGTCTTTTCATCCCCTTGCTGTGGAACAAGCCTTGAACACTGATGCTGGAGAAGGGGTGGCCCCAGCAAGGTCAAGACCACAATGCCAGGTTTGGGTTTTATTTGGGACACTTAAACATCACCAGTGGAAGGACAGTTGTCAGGACATGAAGACATAGAGTAAAAGATAATTTTAGGGCTTTTCAGGCAGCAAATTATCCATTATTTAGTGCAAATCTATCCCAAATCACTGATGGTTTTCTACCCAAATAGCGGGTAGAAGACAGTAGGATTTCTTCTGCATTGGAGGAAGGAACTCAGATCTAATCAGCCTAACTTCAAGAGCAAACAGGTATGTGATTAAGGAACTGCCTCTGATGTCACCTGAAGTACCCCTCCTTGCTCTCCTTCTGTGACTTGTACAGGATAAAGTGATTTCTCTTGTTTGTTCTGTCCTTTTCCATGGTTAGTGAATGCACATCAGCAGCAGGTGATGCTAGCAGATCAGAGGCTTGAAAAAAATGCCTTTTTTCCTTTATAGGCTTTTCATGGTGGAAGAATTTCTTGTCAAAGTCCTTTTTGTTCTTGAAAGGTATCTAAAGAACTCATCAATAAATAAGTCATAGACTTGAATCTTCCTCCAGCTTTTTGTGTCACCAGTTCAAAGGGATTTTCTTAGACTTCCTAAGTTTACTCATCTCAAATTCAGCAACCTGTAATGCTACCAGAATAAGCATTTGTCTGTCTTGGATCTGCAGAGTGGGGTTTTACACGCAGTGAGTGTATGCATCTACGGCAGCTCCAGGCTGCCAGTAGTGAGTAACTATCGCAGTACTGGCTTCTGCCCTGCTTTGCAAACCTACCTAGGGCCATGACATGCACTCCCAAGCCTGCTCTTTAATGAAGTCCAGGCCAAGCACAGAATTATAGGGAGATCAGGGGGTTTTCCACCCCAGCAGCATCATGTGGTGTAGCAGGCGTATTCCAGGCAGGGTAATGTGGCAGTAGGGTGTTTGGATGTAAAGGCTGTGCAGCTTTGTGCTCTTTCAAACTCACTTCTGTTCATCCCCAAGCTTGCATGTGCTACTGCAATATCTCAGTCTGCACAGAGGCGTCACCCTCCTAGATGTGTTAGTGCAGAAGAATGAACTCTTAAATGAATTTCCCTTACTTTAGAGGGTAAGTCCAGGAGGAAAACATGATATGCTGCCTGAAAACTAGCCATGGTTAGCCAATAGTCTGGATTAGCCTTAGCATTATTGAAAAGATCGGAAAATAATCCGATTTCCATCCCATTTCTCCAATAATGCCAATTAGGATTTATTAGGAAAAGAACAGAGAAACAGAGAGAGAGCACCATTATGCTGCAGGACGAATAAATGGTGTACCGGCATCTTGAACATGGCTTGCAGTCCTGGGCTGCTGTCTCAAAAAGGGTGTGGTGGAAATAGAAAGATGCAGAGAAGGGATGGTCAAAGGATATTCAGTGCCTTCCGTGCTTCTCAGGGAGGGATGCTTCAGCCTGGAAAAGAGATAACGAAGGGAAGATCTACAAAATCACAAGTGGCAGGTAGAAAAACTGTCGGGATCAACTGTTTGCTCTTTCTTTCTGTACAGTTCAGGGCTATCAGGCAAGGTAGTAGGAGCCAGGTTCCAAAAATTGAAAGCTGCTGATTCCTTGTGCAAAGGGATATAGATCTATGAAACTCCTTGCTGAAGGACCTGTATTAAAATGGGACAGCAATCATAGTGTGACACAGAAAGAGGAAAGCTGTGGAGTAAGTATACTGCTAGTAACTGTGGTAAACTTTCTTGATCCCAAATCTGGCCTTCAGCTTAATCATAAGCATCAAACCAAGATATATGCACGAGATTCCTGAGAAATTCTGAATTAACCTACTCAGATAATCCATCTTCAGCATGTCCTACCAAGAGTGGCAGTGCTCTCGCTCCTTCTTCCCTCCATGTTACACACTGCCTCAACTGGGGCTGAGGAATTTAAATTGCTGTGAATGGGGTCAAATGCCTGCAGCAGGGGACAGACCCACGGTGTCTCTGCCAGTTGGTATTTCTGAATGTGGGAGAAAGCTGACTTTTCTGTATCTATAATTCTGTGCTCTGTGAAAAAGGGTCAGTGCCATGGTTATTTTATTGTTTTACTCTGTTTTAATTTTTCAAAATTGGTTGGTAGGCAAATCTGTGAGGAAGAGTGTCATCAACTGGGAAATACTTTATGTAGTTGAAAACTTCACTTAGTCAGATAGCAGTGCCCGAGGCTCTCTGTGATACACGAACGTGTATTGTAACAGCACTAAGCTGGTGGGGGAGTGGTAAAGCACCATAGTCAAGCTAAACTTGCCCTTGAATTTTACTTGGATTGTCCAAGTAATTTAAGTTTAAAAAAAGAGTTGAGAGTAAGGAAACAGGATTCACAAAATGGAGACAGTTCTTGTGCCGTTTTTCACCCGTCTTTTCCATTGCGGGACCAGCAGATCCTGCATCCTGCTGGGTAAGATCTGAGGACCTCAGTTCAGATACCACTTACAGGGTAAAGCACCTGGGGGCCCAGCTCCTCATACCTGCCATGTCTCCCTTTTTGTGGGTGCTTCCAGGCTCTGCAAACATGCCCAGGGAGCATCTCCTACCCCAAACTACCATAACGCCTTGGATTTTGCTTGGCTGTACTAGAGCAAGTGCGAGCCCTCCAGGCAGGGATCCCCTTTTCCCTTCCTGAATGCCTCCCCGTGGGGCTAGTTAGTAGGTCAGGAAGTTCAGGGCAGAAAATCTGCCACCTTCTACCTAAGTGTTTGCCCTTATTCGAAGCAGCCAAAAGTGAAATGAAATGCTTTACATTCTAGTACCAGAGCTTAAAAATAAAATAACCCCACAGGTTGCCAAGTTAGAAAATTTGCATGGGCACAGTCTGGCTTCTCAGAAGTTTACAGAAGACTGAGCGGATAAACAGATCAAAAATGATCTAATCTTTTTCAGCCTAATACTAATGCTTGTTTGTAAGGACTTAGGAGTATAGTGTGTACTGTTAGCCTCCATGGAGCTGGTGTCAGGTATCTGGCTACGGTCTTCTGCTGAGGATTAATGAATTTATGTATGTGGAGGCATTGGACAGGGAAGTGTTAGCTGGCACTAATGTTATTTGTAATTATTAGATGAAAGCTTCATATGACAGAAGGCATGAGCTGCCTTTCTAAGCCGTCCTACAAAACAGCGATTAAACACTGCTGAAAACACTGTTAGAAATGTTAATAATGGTGAACCAAGTCTATGAGATGCTTAAGATGAAATTGCAGTCTGAATTATTTTAATTTCTTCAGCTGCGCAATCTGTGCATCCAGAGCACTGTGAGAACAGGAATGTAATTTGTTTAATTGCTCTCTTTGGGCTTGTAGAGTTTTGCAAATGAACCTTTACAGAGCAGGTTTTTTTTCTTGATTTTTTTTTTTTCTTTTTTGGTTTTCCAACAGGAATGTCCTAGCGGGGTTGTTAATGAAGAGACATTCAAACAGATCTATGCACAGTTTTTTCCTCATGGAGGTAAGCAGAGTACTTAGCGTCTGTCGGGTTTATTGAAGCATGCGTTAACATTCGTTACTGCCAGCTGGCTGCAAAACTACTTCAGATAATCTGTGCAAGAAATGTGAATTGAGCTTAAGCTTTGCAGGATCTTAAACAGAAACACAAACAGCAAGGTAATAAAATTAAGTTAGACTCTTTGAACAGTTATTTCGCAAGAATATAGACAAACCCACATTAAAGATTGCCACTAGTTGTCAGGCCTTTATTCTCCACTAAACAGTGCACTAGTCCAAGATTGAAACTGAGGATCGATGCTTTTGTCTGTCCTGACTTTCTGGATGGCAGAAAGCTAAATCACTTTCCCTCAGTGTGTCTTTGCTTCCCTGCTGTTGGACTGCTGTGCATGTCATATCTAGCACAGAAGAGTCCCACACCTCATTTTGGCCTGTAAATTAATCAAAACCTCCCTAAAATTCTTAAAGCAGTTCCTAGTTGATTTGTGAACACCTAGCTACCTGAAATGATCATTTTTGGTGTTTGTGTGACTAATTAAGACAGGGTCACGTCATGTATTGGAATATTAGAGTATTGTATTAAACCTCTCAAATAATGTATGTTCTTGCCTTTTAAAAACATCAAGAATCTATATGTTCTTCTAACTGGATATGTTCTGTGGGGATACTGTTCTCAAATTGAAAGAAATGAGTTGGGGGTTTATGTGGCTTTTTAGTAAAAGATGTAGTATTTGAGGCTTTCTGAATGTATTCCACTCTGTAGTAGCTGCAGACTATACTCATTGTGGAATGATGACTGAAGTTTCTGCAAGAGTGTGTATGTGCGTGTGTGTTTAAGGAGGTCATCAACAAGTGGTTTCTCAATCAAATGTCAAGATAAAACACGTTATGCTTATGTTTTACAATGCATGTGACCTCAAAGATGTACGCCTATAAAAAATTCACATTAAATTTCAGTATGGACTTGATGATTTTCTGTTGTTGTCGCTTTTGTTTCTGTTATAAAAAGCAATCATTCAATTTAGTTTTTTAACAAATATGCAAAAAATTAAGTAATTATAATGTTAATGTATTTCTGGATGTGTTTTGTGTTTTCCACATAAGTTCCAGTAAGTCCAAGGAACTCCAGTTACCCCAAGTAACTGCACTAACTCCTTTAAGTGACATGCCTCCTTCCTTCCCATATGTGAAAAACAATCAGGCACAGAAACTTAATCTTTTCATGCATAGATAACTTTTTCCCCCTCTACTGAGGATGACAGAGACTTGCCTTTTTTTTTTTTTGTGTCCCATTCCCTTGAAATGTGGTTCTCCCTTGGCTAATAGTGATAGTATTACAACCATGCTTAATAATAAATCAGTTTAACAGCAGGTGTGATTTCGTATTTACTCTGTTTTCTTTCACTTGGTTTCCAAACTGTTGGTATAACCTAAGCGTCATAAATTGTGAGATTTCAGATTCCTCAGAGATTTTTTCACTTTTATGGCTCTCTGTACAAATAAACTTGTACATTCCAGAGGTAGTAACCTCTGAGTTATAAAAACTTTGTGCAGTGTCATCCCAGCCTTGTGATATTTTTGTTACATAGGGCTCCTATCCATCACAGGTTTTCATTTTTGCTAATCATCTGGTGATCTAGTATTTCTTAATGTACATCATACGCTATTGAAATAAGACCTCTAGTTTAATATTTTTAGCTCATCATTTAGTTTAGCTTAATAGGAGGTTTTTGTAGAAATGTCCCACAAATAATTTTATGGTTTTCTTCTGGAGCTATTTTATTTCATAATCCTTCTCTTAAAAATGTAGTAGACAACTTTTTTTCCTAAAGTCCAGTGTATTCAATCTTTATGGATGACAGTGACTTAAGTCTTTGATTTTTCTGCACACTGTTACACTTTCCTGGATTTGAATAATGGAAAAGTTTTAATAATTTCATAGAGATCAGAGTAAAGAGAGGCTGGGTCTTTCCACCTGCCTGCCTGCATAGCACAGGGCACCAGGCTTCACCTGAATGCCCATACACTGAGTATGAAGACTCAGGCTTGACTAATGCTCTGTGCTAGAGGCAAAGAACAGAAGAGACAAAAAAGTGCATGCTTGTTAGAATAGCAATGAAATGATTAAGTGAATTTAATATCGGTTGCTTCCATCCTGAAAAGCTGGGCTCTAGTAATGTAGAGAGCAGTGTGAATTGCCTCCAGAGCAGACAACAGGCCAGTCTTAAGGTCATACACTATTTGATTTTTTTTCTGCATACCATTACTGTTTTTCACATCCTTCATGTGGCCGTAGAAACTGTTCTTCTCAGTAGAAAAGATTTTCTAAAACCAGCAGTTTAAGATTCAAAAGGACAAAAATATGCCTCGGATGAGATTGCTCTTTAACAGTCATGGGCCAAAATCATGTTATTGGAACTAGACCCTTCTGAAGCTGGACAGCCCCTGGGGATCTCTGCTGTATCTCACACAAAGAAAAATGTAGAGGAAGGAAGCACACAGGCTGCAATCACCCTTTGGTGCTTTTGCTACGTTTCCCACCAAAGCTAATACTCTATTTGCCCTAGAGACACTGTTGAGAGGTTTTTTTTTTTCGCTCGTTCTTCCAAGTACAGCCCCATAATCCAGGTAATTTCTACTGTAATAAAAGCTTTTACCTTTCAAGGTTGTTTTAAGGGAGGGTGTGGGGAGTATGCAAGACCATGTTAACATTTACTAGTTCATAGAATATCTGACAATGCTACAAGGTTAGTTTTATACAAAAGGAAAAAAATGTTGTTTAGAGCCATTATATGTAAAATGAACTGTTGTATCAATCGGTGCCCTTTGTGTTTTTCAGATGCTAGCATGTATGCACATTATCTCTTTAACGCATTTGACACTGCACAAAATGGCTCAGTGAAGTTTGAGGTAATTGTTTTGCATCCTCCTGTCTCAGTTTTGTGGTTTTAAGCTTCTCCATCCATTCTTTACTGTAAACTAGTAGGACTTGTTGGATTATGGGTTAGAGATTTCAGTCTAAAGACAGTTGATATTTTAAAATCTGGTTCACTTTAGTTTATGCAGATGGAGTTGCATGTTTCCTTTCACTAAAGAAACATATAGATCACATTATTCAGTACCACAGGGAGAAAGTGCGGAGATTTATGTAGCAGAGAGGAGAGGTTGAGGACAGTCCTGTCCAGGGATTTGCACAGATAATTTGGATGTCAAAGAAAAGCCAGTACATCGTGTGTCTTCTGCAGTCATCATGCATTGCAGGGTTACACTTGTATATTCCTGGAATATAGGGGGACGGGGGTGTTAACTTATTTGATATATTGAATAAGCATCTCAGATACTTCATTCCTAGGGAAACCAAATCTACCTTTTAAAAGGCCTGTTGCTGTGGCTACAAATAGCCATTCTTCAAGCTCACACATATAGTTGGAGTGTAGCAAAGGGATATGTTAAGTCATAGGCCTGTGGAGGATGAATTTCATAGTTACGAAGACAGTTTACTGTGACCATAAAACTAGAAATCATAGGCAGTCTTGCCTTTGCCATCAAATGCCTAAGAACTCCAGTAATTTCCAGGTAAGACTGAGAAATTAGTTCATTTATCAAATGTAAAATGGGAATGTTACCATATGTATATGTGCATGTCTGTAGCGACGGCTGCAGTGGGAGTTTTGCATATGGCAGCTACTCAGTAGTTAGAGACTTTCAGAAACCAAACAGGCTGGGTCACAGCAAAATGCTTAGGTAAGTATTTATTTAAAAAAAAAAAAAGTGCTGAGCTTTTCTTCCTGGCAAACCTGTCTCTTTAGTCGTTGTCAAACATAAGCGTTTTGTCCCCTTTTTTGTATTGTTCAGCAAATTCAAACTCCTCTGAGCCTTGGGAAAAAGGAGCAAAGGTTTCTAAGAAGTGATGCACTACCCCATGCAGAGCTAATGGAGATAACATAGGAAGGACTAAGTACATTAAATGAGGTATCAGGAACTGTATAGCTCTGTTAGCTTGAAGCTCTGCCTGTACTAATAAATCCCTGTAGCGATGCTACTTACAATGCCTGAGCCACCGTGCAGTATAAACAATAAATCAAAGTTATTGGAAACAATAACTTTACTGTAAACAAAAAATACAATTAAAATGCTGTGCCCAGACTGAGTAATTAGTGGTGGGAATCACATCTGGTCAAGTCTGACAGATTCTGCCAGAGAACAAAACCTGAGGCTTGCTGTGTTAGAGGAGTTTGGGATCTTTCTGTCTTGCTCAAGGTGGACACAGAGAAAGTACTGGATTTTCCTCCTCCTCCTCCTTTACTAGCACCCTAGGTCTAGGTAAGAAAGCATTGGCTTCCACTGCTGCAGTTAGAGTCCAGCTGTGTTTAAGCAGGCAGCGGCAGTCTGAGTGACTCCTTCTTGCAGCAGACCATTTCTAGGGGGGAAATTGCCACTGGAGCATCTTGCCATGCTCTTAAAAACCAGACATGTATTTTGCCATGCTTACATTCATGCAGTATTTAGAGATTAGAGCATGATAAATTTGGATGGGTAGCAAGGAAGGTGTCCCAGCTTCTGGCCTTGAGCATACTGTGGTGTTCCTGGCAAGTCCGAGGAGCCAGAGCAACCACTGTCCTATGGACTTTAGGATCTAAGTCTACCTGACTTGGACTGGATCTGCTATTAAGCCCATGCCGTTTTCACACCCCTCACCCCCGGATTTAGGAGGGTTTAAGGCTGCAGCACCCATTAGGTCTTCCTGCCGTTCCAGCCTAGCTAAGCTGCCTAACCCGTATCATAAGCTTGGCTTTTACGGTGGCTGCACTTGAGTACTTGAGGACTTTTCTGATTTTCGTGGTTACCTCATACACATTTATTAGTGTGACAGTACTCAGATCATCTTAGTAGATGCTATGTCCACTGAGTTCAGTCAGAGAGGACATGTTTTTTGGAAAAGGGAGTCAGAAGAGATTGATAACCATATGCTCTATCCTAAAAAGATAAGTCTTTTGACTGGCTTTATATAAAGAAAGTGACTTAGAAGAGGATGTTATGAAAATTCACGTTTCTCTCTCTGCATTGAACCAGGATTTTGTGATGGCATTGTCCATTCTGTTGCGGGGAACTGTTCATGAAAAGCTAAGATGGACATTTAATCTGTACGACATAAACAAGGATGGCTATATAAACAAAGAGGTAAGGCTGTTTCCACCAAATGGGGTTGATTTCTGAAGAGAGCTGACTGGTTTCTGTTGCAGACCACAATTAATTTTGCATGCAGCTAATGAAATGCAAATCAGGCTGGACTTGAGCATATCTGCCTCTAAGTAAAGTGCACAGTGATCTTATATTGCATGATTTTGTAGACATATTTTTCCTATATTATAGTGCCTTTAATGGATTGCTTTAGCCAGGAGCAAAATCCTCATTACAGCTATGAGCAACATAACCTTTGCGAAGGGAAGGGTGATGGTGACAATAGCTACTCGGTGACTGAGGCACAAGGGGTTTCTGGCTGCACTGGGAGGTATGGCGTGGGCTCACCTGAAGCACTAGAAGCCCCCAGCACCACTCCCAAATCCTGCCTTATCATCTGGTTTTACCTTCTTATCTGGTATTGCTTGTTCCCTTTGTGGGAAGCCTTGGTTTTGAGCACGGTAACCTGAATATTTTGCAAATACATCTTGGTCTATCTTTTCAAAACTATTGTGCGTACCTGGAGGGTTTGTGGTTACTGCTACTGGTCATAGAGTTGTGTGGCAGAGTGTGCAAGGTGGGGAGAAGGGCTGGGTTCCCAGTGACTGCCGTGAAGGTCCCTGGCCCCAGAGGAGGCTCTGGGACAAGGTCGGTGCCACAGTGCTCAGGACCAAGCACGCCACTTCAGCCCAGCACCATCCCCAGCAGCTGCCGTGTCAGCGCACGCATCCTGCAACGCTGCGTGGCCAGAGGAGGGAGGTGAGCACTGCAGGCACCTCCAACGCGGCTGTGGCAAAGTCATGGCACAGTCAGGAAGAAGCACTTGGTTTTTATAGATGAACTTGTATGTAATGATACACCTGTCTTCATGCACATGTATAGGCATTCTCTGTGCTGTTTTGTAGTAGGAGAAGGGTGAAGAAAAGGGTAGTAAAATAAAGAAACGTGCTATCATGTCTATTAATTTCCCTTCTGTGTTTGTGCTGGCATGCCACTACTGCAGGAAATGATGGATATCGTAAAGGCAATTTATGATATGATGGGAAAGTACACATATCCAGTGCTCAAGGAAGATGCTCCAAGGCAGCATGTAGAAGTATTTTTCCAGGTACTTGATTTTTGATGTATTTTTCTTAACACTTGAGCTGTGCACTGATATACTTTACTGTAAGGTTAGCCCCAAGTTCAATCCTATGCCCCAGTATATATTCCAAAATAAACCTTAGCAGGCATTCAGCCTAACACTACAGTGTCTGCTGATTTCCTGACTCCAAGGTATCCCATTTGTCTCTCAGCCCAATCCTTTGCAGTGGGATGTGCCACATCCAGCAAGTCTGAAGCCTCTGCATGTGTGGCAGCTCTTCTCTGCTGTATTCTCTCAACTGCCCGTAAAGAGAGCCAGGAATATGGGTGCTGGTTGGCGAGGCAGTGAATAAATAAACGATGTAATAAGGGCAGAGGTTGCTGTGTATGTCAAGGAAGGAATAGTTGGAGATGACCTCAAAAGTGCTCCCAATACCAGAGTAACAAGTCCTTAGCAGTCGGCAAATTTATCCAATGACACTGAGTCTGTAATCTAAGCTTGTAAAGTGCCCTAGGTTTATTCAGATTGCACCAAATAAGATACTATACTATAACTGCAGTGTTACCTATGGAAACAAAATATTTTTTTTATTTTATTTTGCAGAAAATGGATAAAAACAAAGATGGTGTTGTAACTTTAGATGAGTTTATTGAATCGTGTCAGGAGGTAAGGACAAAATTATAACTGCATGAAAGGTCTAGCTCGTGCCACAGCATTTGCTTTCTCTTTGGACAAACTCCATTTCAAACAAGATGCTGCTCAGGATCCCAGGTTTCCTTTGCTCTGTGAAAAGGCAGCTTCAAGATTGAGTTTCTGGTGGTGCCCTGTGAAGTCTGTGACTGAATAGGGAAGTAGTGTCAGGCGAATCACGGGAGCGGGCCTCTTCATTTCCAGTGCTGGTGGCCAGTGCTTTTATTTTCCTGAGTGAACTGCAGTACCTGATTCTGTAGACAAGCAGATAACTCTAGAGAAAGCTCATAATGCCCTTAACCTTCCTTAGTTGGGTTTTTTTTAGGTTTTGGGGTTTTTTTTGTTTGGTTGGGTTTTTTTAAGAGGCTGATATTGTTTCTGTGTGCTGCCCCTGGATGTCATCAGCAGGTACCACATTGCTGGAACTGCCCAGAGCTGAAGGTCTCTCAAAATCTTGTAGTTACAGCACTGACTTATAAAAACCAGTTGATGTTTTCATAGTCAAACATTAAAAGCAAATGCTGTCATCATAGCAATGATTTTTTTTTTTCCCCCCATTATAGAAATAAGCTTCCTCTTGCAAATTCCATACGTTATGTTGGCCTTAATAAATATTTGCTGGTATGTTTAGCACTGGCACAAAGAAAAGCATCTGCATTAATATGTAATTGGCAAAGTGTCTGTTGTCTTAGAGTGTAATTAACTGCGTGAATGTTTGCTCAGAGATATCTCTAATGTTTGATCAGTACAATAATGGCCTCTGCATTTTAGAAAGTTTACATTGGTGCAAATAATTATATACCAGCCCTCCTGTGTATTTGACTTTCCCTGGAAAAATCTTCCCTGTTCTGCAGTCAGACAGCTCTTCTGTACCTGAGTAATGGGAAGATGCTCACTGTGGAGGGCTAGGCTGGCTTCCCGCTGTTTCTGTGTTGAGTCTGGCTCTGGCTACATCCAGATTACTTCTCAGTCAGGAACTTCAGGCAGCAAAATCCTTGTTAGCAGATCATAATGCAAGGTTAATTTTTTTCAGGTACTTCATTCTTGGTCCCTCCTGATTGTTTAGCTTATTTTTGGCCTCGGCTTTAATCTGATCATTTGTATGGTGTATTATTCTTCACATTCATAGTTTGCCTTCAGGCTGGATGCGTGTGTATGATTACTGGTCTCAGTATTGAAGCAGCTTTACTTCACTTTTAACTGTTTGTTTAATGCCATGCCCTAGTTTGGGTTTGGTTCCTTCTGTTAATACACTTACACTAGGAGCTCTGCAGTCTGATGCATTGCCATGTGTGGTTTCCTGGCAGATAGGAGCAAGCCCTGCAACACTAAGATGTTTTTGTTTTTTTTGTTTTTTTTTTTTTTTATGAAAAACAAATTGAAGTGCACTGTAGTGCTTATCTCTGCCATTTCTGAGGATATGGCTCATGGGCAGTGAACTCCTAGCATTGCTTTGGAGAGGATGATTGGTTTCCCATGCAAGGCGATACCTTGTACTAGTACCCACCAAACTGTGTTAGAAGTGAGATAGATGGATGCAGCCTCAAAATAAGATAGAGGAATGAGATGCAATAGATCTCTTAAGTGCTCAATGTGGAAAATTATTTTCATGTCACAGGTAAACAGTTATTCTAACTTTTGGGATAACTGAATTCCTGGGGGGAAAAAAATCATCATTATGTTTTTGAATATTATTCTGGTTATTACCTTGAAATACAATTTTGAGACTTCATGGGAAACAATCCGGGATTTCCCTTGTGTGTCTATAACTTTCTCATTTGGATCTAGGAACCTCAGAGAGGGCGAGATTGCATGCATTTTGGGTTTGAGCTGGTTGTATTTCTGGGATGAAGTGGTCCTTCAAGGCAGCTTGTTTATCAGTTCAAAACCTGCAATTTCATTTGGATTTTTGAAGCATGTTAGCTAAGTGCATATTTGCATGTTCAGGATCAATAAATGCGGTTGGACACTGAAGTCTGAGGGTTCAGTACAGTCACCAGCTCAGTGCTGGTGTCTGGTTTTCTTCGGTAAAGCACAGCCCATGCTGAATGTCAAGCTTATGAGAAGATCCTGTGCTTGCACACCTCAAACCAACTAAGGTGCCAAAGTAAGAGACGACTGCTTTGCTAAATCACGATCTGATCACTGAATCAATTCCCGCTCATCGAGGATGAAAAGCATTATGATAGCAAGACTGTTGCCTGCAGTAGCAGTTGCAAAGCCCCTCCTGTGCCATGCAAAGTTACGAGTCATTCTTGTCAGTGCTGGTTTTATGAAAATGTCTTCTCATTGCTTTCAGGACGACAATATCATGCGATCCTTACAGCTCTTTGAGAACGTGATGTAATTGTGTCTGGTGAGCGCTGGAGGAGTCAGAGACTTTCTGTGTAACAAAGACCTCCTTTCTGGGTGAAAGCTTTTTACAATTCAGCCATGTTCAGTGTGTGAGGATTTTGTATGACATCTCCAACCAAATGGCAACCGAATGCAACCGATCCCACCTCTTCTCCCCAAGAGACACTGGTGGACCTTTGTTTCGTTTTGGAAGCATGTGAATATTTTAATAAAACCGGACAAGAGAGAACTGTTGCTCGAAGTTCAATGAGTAATATACAGCATTGTTTGCTAGGCACAAGTCCTGCTTTTAATCTAGCAAGCTTGATTATGTATGATAGCACATGTCGATAGCTTACTCAGCCATCTATTGCAAGTGAAAAGCTCAGTCCATACTACCGTACGGCAAAATGTTTTATGAATGCCTCGCCGTTAATCTGCTTTGACAAAAGTTGAATCCACCAGGGCAGTCTGTAAAAAATGAACAGTATATGTACCTAGGACATGAAGCAGACAGCCTGTGTAGCCAATATCCCCATTTCTGCAGAGATCCTGCTTTTCCTCTCACATGCACTGGTGCCACCATGCTGAGTTTGGTGGAGTTTTTCCCGAACACATTAACTAGAGGATCTTCATGCCAGGGTGAGCCAGAAAGGAGCAAAACATGTGTTGCACATATAAATTTCAAACTACAGAACAAATCCTGTTCAATGATGGTAAGTTCTTGCAAGACCAAGCAGGTTTATAAGGGCTGTACAGGAAGATGAATACCTGCTCTGGTCCCAGCCACCTTCTGCAGTCCTGGCATGTGGGGGGACACCAGGTGATTCTCCAGTGTACATCTCAGCAGCACCGTGGTCATGTGCTACTACTTTCGGTGTAGTTTGGCACACGCTTCCTAGATTCATCATTTGAACGTTTGTATTTTTCCATTGGAAGTTACAGTAAAGTGTTGCCCACTTCATGGATTTATTTAAGCTTTCCAGTTTTACTTAATGCAGAAAAGGGCCCAGATGATGCAGCTGTGTTTCCACATACAGACCTTGGCACCCACAAAGTGTACTGTAAGTTTAATTGGGAGCTACTTAGTTAGCTGCCAGGCCCGTATTTCCCTTCGGGTAATTTAAAAGTTTCTATAGCAGTTTTTTTCCTACAAGGCAGTTGCATGACTTGTACAAGTCCCACTTCCTTACTAATGCCAAATAGAGCATTAGTTTGGGGGTTTGGGTTTTTTAATTGGTAAAACAGAAAGAATCATGTAATGAATTTACACCAAGATTGGATTTTGCCCAGTAGATTATTTGTCAGCTGAAGAACATGTCAGAGCCTGCTTTGCAGAGGACTCTTAAGAAAGTTAACACACCAGAGTGCCATTGCAGTCTCGAGGCAGCCGATGGCTGAGAAACCAAGGGAAGGAGGGAACAACCAACTTTCCCAGCTGCTCAGACCAAACAGAAAGGAGAGTCCCTGCCGTAGTGCTACACCGCTCCCATCCAGTAAGCATATATTTTTATTATATCAGATACTATATTACAAATATACTGTTAGCAGTGAAGATATATTTTAAAAATTATGTAAGTGGAAGCTTTTTATAATACAAAATATATAGAATGCCTCATTTCTGTAGCCCTATATTTTATAAAAAATTAATCTATTGAGGTATTCCTGATTATAGAAGTAGGTCTCATCAGTATTAGTGTAATGCTATGCTATCCCCAGGATGGGACTTTTTCCCTTTTACTGTGCTCCTCCATAAACTTCTATGTCATCTTAACTTTATTGCTTTCAGTCGCTCACTTGTCATCAAAAGTGCTGTTCAAGTGAGTGAAGTTATATGTACACAGGAATGACACGCTAGTCTATCCTGGCTAGCAATGACACAGAGCATAGCAACTCCAATAATGTGCTGTGATTTGCAGAAGTGATGCGATGCTGTGAGAGTAGCTGTGTCCTCCAGTTGTCTGGTATTGTCTATTTAGTTTTTATTTAATAGGCACTTGATAAAGACATCAGTTGTAGCTGAAATAAGGCACAATGTTTATACTGTTCCTTCTTGATTCTTCTTGCAATCGCTTTAGCAAATAACAGATTTTAATATAATCAATAACCTGTTTTTTTCCCCACACCAAAAGAGCATCTGTCTATTACCAGTCTAAGCAGTTAACTTCAGCAGAGGGAAAAGTGGTCGAGATAACAGAAGACAAACATTTGCATTGGGCTAGCACAGTGCCTTTCTCCTCTAACAGTGTTGCTCCAAATCTGCTCATGAGATGGCACATACAGCCAGAAAAGTTTTGAAAGTGCCCTTTTCAAAAGAAAATGTTATTAGTTGCATGATATGCCATGGTCCCTAAAGCTAGATTAATTTCTGGAGTTATTGTGATGAATTTGGCCTCAGCTATGTTTTCTGTGTCTGCACTAGCAGAAGTGCTATACGGGTGGCGCGGGGGTGCCTGCGTCATAGGGGCTATAACTGCTTTCTGTTGAGCGTGGCCCCGGTTTGGCAACATACTTTGAACATTTGGATGTTACTCTCAGTACGTGCTTAAGTGCATTGCTGAAATCAGGCTACCATTAGTGACCCTGTAGTTTTGGCATCTCCTTATCTGCTCTGCGGTGTCAGTTTTCAGCACCCAGTAATGATGGGGGTGCATTAGGCAGAGAGGGAGGTGCTGAAAGCCGCACTGGTCCTGATTCTGCTATTAAGGCATAACTAGCTTTGATTTTGGTCTCGCAACAGCCCGGACCCCACCTGCGCATACCTGATGTTCAGCCCTGGGTTGCTACCTCTCTGCTCCACTTCAAGTCCATTGGAGCTGAGATAGGAGCATTGGCAAAGTGACGCACAACAGTTGTATTTTCACATAGCTCTAATTGTAAATTCTGTCTGTGGCAGAGTCATTGCCTTTGCGAAACCGTTTATTATCCTGTGTTTGTCTCTGTTCCCACTGATAGCAGCCAGAGGCTGGTATGCATCAGTGCATAGAAGGCCTCTGGGTTTTCCGTGAGCAGTATATGTGTATATGGCATGTGTGCTCCAGCCAACAGATGACAGAGATCCAGTGACTGTGAGAGAATTGTACTCTGCATGGAAATGTCTTTGGGTTTGTTTTTTTTGTTTTCCGTGAATGTTACTTTGTAAACTTGCAAAGCCTCCCATCGCTCATAAATGGGGCTTGCAATATTTATGGCAAATACTTACTACTACAGCTTTCTAAACAAAACATAGTGTGCTATTCTCATCTCATACCATCATAAATCCTACTGCCAGTATGTGGAAGGTAGTTACTATGCTGGCTTCTAAGTTACAGTTAGACTGTCTGTCAGTGCTATCAGCTGTGCAAATTTTCTCAAAGTTGTGACTGTTTAAATAATGTCTGAATCATTAGTCTGACTGTTTCATTAGTTACAAACATCAGTCTGCATCTTCATGCCAGCATTTTCTAAAAAAAGCCTTTCTAACATGCATTTTAGGCAACAATCTGTTGAAAAATAGGAATGTGATTAATGATAATGCAAAAAAAAAGTAATGTGCCTGTTACCGTCGATGTTTGTTTTCCTGTTACTTTGAATGCATTGCAATATTGTGAGTAATCACAAGTCAAGCTATAAAACTGAGGTATGGATATCGTAAGGTTCAAGCATTGTGGGCAGAACTTTGGCATTGCCTGACTGACACATGTTGAGAACAAACATCTTTGTGTTCGTGTGTGACCTCTGATAAGATGGTAGCAGCAGTGTAACAACCTTTCTTTCCTCTTCATGGAAGTGCCATGAAAGACCTAAGGAAATGTGCAAATAATATAAATTGTGATAACTAAAGCCATGTGAATGGAGCAGCAATGCATAGCTTCACAAATGCTATTCTCCAATGGTAATTTGTATTAAATTTTGTTGAATGGTTTTACAAATGTTGGTTTTAATAATAAAAAGAAAATACCTGTAGGAAGGTGTCCTTTCTTAAGTCCAGTATGTACTTTTTTCTCAAGGGACACTGTCAGGTTAAAAATTTACAGGGAACTTTTTAAAAGCAGGACTCTTATAAATACATATCTACCTGCATAGAGGCTGTTAAACTGCTGAACTGTGCTGTGAGCGTAACATTTACATGCTAATGATTTATTTGCATCACTGATTCAGGCATGCTATTATATTTGGTGCAGTGACATACACCTAATTCATAGTCTGGCCCTTGTGTAAATAAGAGTTCAAAATGTTCTACCTGCATCACTGATAGTGCCTCAGAGTAGTAAAATTTGAGAGCTTATAGGCATGTCTTTTCTCTTCAGCATTTTTGCTTAAGTATAAGCAGGAGAACAGGCAGGCAAACAAGTTGAATAAAAATGCAAGCACTATTTTATTTTAGAGATAAGAAGAATCAGACAAAACCTCACAGTGTCCCTTTAGCTCTGGTTTGTTGCAAACATCCATTCTGACACGGAGAACCGCAGAAGAAATTTTGTGAGACTATATATATGTGTGTACATATACATATATAAAAAAAAAATTTGCTAAACTCCATTCTGTAGGGTATAATATGTCTACCAGCACATCCTAGGAAAAAGAACATTCTCTTGCTTACATGCAGAAATGTGAAAATAAAGATGTCTGTGTGAAACGTGGTATTGGTCTCACTCCAGTGCCTAAACAGGTCGCGTTGCCCACCTGGCCACTGCCCCCGGCCAGTTCTTGGCTGCGCAGACAGGGAGCAAGCGGCCTGGGGACAGCCGCCTCTGCCGCCGAGGCACCAGCCTCCTCAGAAGAGACAACAGTTCCCTGTGGAAAATGTCAAACCTGACTTCTTGCTGTCCCTGCAAGGAAAAGGTGTTGAAGCTGCCTGTTCAGCACCTCTCTAGCTCCGAAGTGCACCCAGCTGCTGCTTGGCAAAGTAGACTCTGGCTCACCGGCATGTGCGTATGCTTTTTTATTCCTTTTTCAACATCAGGTTTGCTCGAGTGGCTATCCAAAGTCTTAGTTACTGCTGTGAGATATTAGACATCTCTGATTTTATTCTCAGCCCATCACCATTGCAGGCTGAGCATTTCATCCTGCTGCCTGCGTGGTCTGGGGTGTTCATCTGATGGTTTGAAGGGACAGTGGGGAAGAGGGCAGGTATGCACTGGCAATGAGGGCTGTCCCCACAGCATCACTGAGAACGTCCTCCAGAGCGCGATAGGGTGAAACTGAGGCATGTGCCGCAACTCAGTGCGTGAAAAAGGTTACTTTTGAATGCAAGAATATCTTTTTTGTACTGTGAGATTAATTCTG